TGAAGTAATTCTCATTTGGGCATGATGTATTATTGCTTTGGCAGACTTGCAGAAAGTGATCTTACATCTTTTTTGGAATTCTTGCTTGTATGTTCATCATACTTGGCCTTTTATTTAGTTGATTAGTTAAAGAATAAATTTTAGTAATAGAGATATGCTAATCTCAGAAATTACTTTGGTAACACTTAATATTTTCAGATATCTGCTTTTTACAACTTAGTAATTATTTGTTGCCTGAATTTTAGTAGAAGTTGTTTGTAATAGCCTGTTGCACTTAAAAATTTTTATTGTTTAAATTGATTATGCCCTTTTTTTTTTTTGGCTGAAGCCAATTTGGGTATTTGATACTTTTAACAGACAGTAATGTATGCCTTCTAAATTTTCAAGTATTTTGGTATAAAATTGTACATAGAATTCTAGGTTAGTTAATGGCAACAAAACATTTGTTTTTACACTGAGTAATGATCTATTTTACATTTCTAATCTTTAAGCTGCAGAGAATTATCTCTATTAATGACTTTTATAAATAGCATTAAACTTTAATGATTATTTCTGTAATATTTTTGCTTCATATTATATGAGTATCTTTTATTGTCTATTTTGTTTGTTTGTTTTAGTACTGGGGAATCAAACTCAGGACCTTGCTCTTGCAAGGTGGTCTTTCATTATCTATTAATCCTTCCCTACTGCAGCATTTTAGCTCCTACTTCTAGTTGCAGTTAAAAGTCTAAATCACATTATTTCTTTTTTAGTACTATAGGCATATATATTTAAATTTTCATTTACATACTGATTGGCTACATTTTAAAGGCCTTAAAATGTCATGTCCTCATGTTTATTAATGAATTTTCAATTTTTGAATTTCTTTTTTTGACTTTCATATAACTTTATTTTTATTACTATTTTTTTAAAATTTTATTTTATTAGTACATGTTTGCGGTACATGAAGTGTACACTCAGGTAGTGTAAGTGCATGTACATAACACATGTTGATTCTTTTTTAATTCCCCTTCTCTTCCATACTCCCCCCATTTCTAAATTCCCTTTCCCCATTTCATTGTTGTTGTTATTTTGTATACATGCACTGTGGGTATTTGGTATACGTACGTACATGACTCATCTTAACCTCCCCACATCTGTCGGACCTCTTCCTGTTTACAAATGATCTCTCTCTGTTTCTTCTGTCAGTTCTTTATTTTGTTCTTTATTTACTCTTTGACCACACAGTATTTAAGCTTGTATGTCTGGTTTATTTCACTTAAAATTATATTTTCCTAGTGTATCCTTTTTAACTTATGGAAATAAACTGTTCAGTTTTCTTTTTATTATTATTCTTTAAAATAAATTTTATGTATATGTAAAGCACACAGCATAATGTTATATATAGAGAAAGATGAAAGGGTTATACAATGACATATTATTTAGCAAGAGTAACTATACTCTACTTATTTATCCATAATCTCAAATGTAGTATACATTATCAGTAGTCTTAATGTGTAATTGTATTGCATCATGTTCAGAAAAAGAACTTGAACCACAGTATTTCTGTAACTTTCAATATTAAGATATTTTTTATAGCCTAACTTATGATCATTTTAAAATTAATATTAAATGTGTGCTTAAAAAGAATATAAGCATGTGTTTATATATATATATATA